AGGAGAGGAGAGGAGAGGAGAGGAGAGGAGAGGAGAAAGAACAAACACAAACCACTTGAGCTGCTGAGACAACGTTTCGCAGTCATTGAGATGGGAGATGGGAAGGGAGCGGTCCAGCCAGATGGCTCCCTCCTCCTGAAGAACTAACTGGTCCTGGCAGAGGCCTGTGGCCAAGGAAGAGCTGCACCCGGTGAACCAGGCTGGGGCTGCCTAAGAGTCAGGAACAGGGGTTTGTCCAGCACAGGACCTTCTGCCTGGCAGATCTGAGCCAACCTCATCAGTTTTCCTGCCCAGGACCCATTTCAATGCCAAGAGGTGGCTGGTAGGGCCTGAAGGAAGAGCCAGTCCTAGGATGGGTGGGGTTCAGGAAAAGGAGGTGGCCCGCAGTCTGTCTCCTGATAGTTGTTTCCTATTGCTTCTAAGAGGTTTTACGAGTGAAGTTCCTGCCATCTTGTGGCCGAAACTGGTACTGCCTGAGCCTGGGTCCCTCTTCCCTCCCCCTGCTCGCCAGCACTGCTCAGCTGGTGTGCCCTAGGTGGGAAGGGTAGCCTCTGAGGACAAGAGGGTCCAGAGAGGCCTCTCCTCATAGTCCAGCCTAACAAACTTTCCGAAGGCTCTGAGTTTGGCCTGGCCACTCATTCATACAAGGACCATCATTTGTGGAAAAGAGGATATGGGTGGGCAGTGGAGGAGGAGGGGCCAGGCCCTGTCCACCTTCCCAAGAGCAGACCCATCCAAAGGAGGCAAAGAACAGGCCTGGGTGACCTGGGAAGGGGGGAAGGGAGCAGAAGACTCCCTATCCTCTCCCCCTTGATCACAGCATGGCAGTACAGTTGAGGTCAAAACAGGAGCCCCCTTCCCAGAGCAAACACTCTCTAGGCAGACGCCTCCCCGGTGAGAGTGCCGAGCTCTCTGAGGTCAAACGTGTGTGCATTTCTGGGTGGAGACCGAGGAGGTGTGAATGCCTTTGACTCTCGTGTAGACATGGCCACAGAAGGCAGAGCTAGCTGTCATACTCACAGAGATCAGATCCCCCTCGCTTGCCCAGGGCCAAGAATGTCCAACTCTGAACTTAGCTTTTTCTTTCTGTGAGCTCTCTGCCACCTGAAGCAGATGGGATATTCACGACTTGGGGGTGCTCTTTACTGTAATATTCTGTCCTTACCACCACCCTGTGTCCCAGAGCCAGCTGCACGGCAGGATGCTGGTGACGGTTTGATGGCCTGTTTACTGCCACACACCCAGGACACTGGCCCATCCTCCTTGCAGTGAGGTCACCCCTCACTGATGCCAGCAGCTGCCCGCCCAAGGGCTCATCCTCTGGAGGCTCCCTTTCTCGGAAAACTCTGGTACCAGAAAGCGAGCTAGCTGGGGTTCTAGCATGGAACGGAGAACTTTCAAGATATTCCAGAGATGGAGATGACAGAGAGAATTAGTGTTCACAGGCTCCTTTAAAGGGCAGTTAGAACAGAGGCCTGGAGAAACACTAGGTTCTAGCATGCAGAGTCATCACTGAACCACAGGAACTTATTGCCACGAGGCCTCAATGGCCCAGGACGAAAGGCCCTCAGAGGTGGCCAGGAGAAACTGTGCCAGAGTCACATGTGAGCTCTCTGCAGGCACCTGTACCCATCCCAATGACTACGCCTTGCAAATCTCAGCCTTTCTCTGTGTCAGCCACTTGATCCTACTTTGGTTTCTCCTGAGGAGGACAGAAAGTGGGTGGGTGCTGACACTAGAATCTGGGCAGTGTGGTCTCAGACATTCTGCCTCTGTGGTCCCAGGCCACCCGAGCATGTCAGGGATCGAGACACATGATCTCACACACACTTTTATATGGTTGATGACAATAAAACTTGCCCTTGGTGGCGGCTGTGAGGTGGAAATTAGCACATGAAGTCTTTGCCCAGAGTCTGGCACATAGTAAACTCTCAATAATTGCTAGTTTAAAAAAAACGTTTAAATGGGTTTAGAATGGTTCCTTGTTCTCATTTCTAACTCCTACAAAAACAAAACAAAACCAAAAACCTGGCTGCCTCTGTGTTGTGTGGTCCAGCTGCATGCTTTGACAAGGGACACCGATCCTCGCTCTTTCCAAGCCAGGTGAATCTGCCTCCTGGTTAAGAGGGCGGAGCAGAAAAGGCCTGCATCAGCGAGTGGCATGAGGACAGAGGTGGGTCCACTGACCGGAGGTCTGGGGGTTCATCTCAGATAGAGCAGACATCGTAGCCTGGCCAGCACTCTCGTCCACGCACAGGCTGGGCTGCTCCGGACTCAGCGCTGAGAGTGAGTTTCTAATGCCTGGTGCTCCAATACTTCAGGGCAACTGGCAACAAGATAGAATAGGAACACAGCTGAAATCCAAAAGGGAAAAAGGCAGGCCTGCACTCCACGGGGAGTCATGTCTGTTTCCTAATCTGTCTCCTGCCCCAAATAGCTCGGCTCTCCTCCCCCACTTGTGTTGACGTGTTTCCTGCCTGGGCAGCAGATGCCACCAAGACTTAAACTAGGTCACCGAGGGCTGTGATGGGCTGACTCAGGCCCACAGGTCACGTCCTCCTCTGACTAGGATCTCCAGGTTCCTGGCCCAGAGCTCAGAGCACAACTCTCTATATGCGGTGGGAGTGGGGGGAGCCTGTCCCTGGGCTGGGGACACAGACCCTGGCTTACCTGTCTTGCTGGTCCTCTTTCCTCCTGGGAAACCAGGGAGCCACAGGGCTCTGCTGCTATCCTGGAGGAGGTTTGGAGCTGCCATCAAAAAGCAGGACTCCTGTCAGGTATGGGGGGCCGTGAGCAGAATATAAATGATACAAACGAAACATTTGACCACAGACTCTAAAGCAGGTCAGGGCACTTGCTGCCAAGCCTGGCAGCCTAAGTTCAATCATCACGGTTGGTCCCCTGGTAGAGAGAGAACACTAATGTTCACAAGTTGTCCTCTGGCTTCCACACATGTATTATAGTGCTTGCACGTGTGCATGACACACGCGAGTGCACACACACGCACATAATAAAAAGAAAATACTTTAGACTCTGACTCAATACTCAATTTCAAGTCCCAATCCACCAAGGCAGATCGATAAGTATCCACGTAGAATTATCTACCAGGGAAGGTTAGCACCGGCACATGACCTAAGCCATGTGCCTCCTGCTGGCCACACTCCCTCCTTCTCAGGAGTCCTGTGTCCAGCATTGGGTCCTGAGGTCTCTTCCTCTCTCTCCACAGGTTCTTGCCAAAAATGGCTTTGGCCCCATCACCACTGACATCCGAGAGGGCCAGGAGTTCTACTATGCCGAGGACTACCACCAGCAGTACCTGAGCAAGAACCCAGATGGCTACTGTGGCCTTGGGGGCACTGGAGTGTCCTGCCCAATGGCCATTAAAAAATAATTTCTCTCCACGAAGTTGGCCCTGGAGGTTCCAGCAAAACCATGGTTGCTGGATGGAGTGGCACTGCTGTGATTCACATCAGTTGATTTCCAAAGAGCCCACATCACACGGGCATTTACATGAATCTGGTTGTCACTGGGGTCTGATTTAGCGGAAGGGCTATGACAAGCTGATAAATTGTAATTTGTCTTCTGATCAGTCTGGGTGGGGGTTGAGCATGACATTTTAGTGGATCATTTGGGATCTAAATGGAGATAATGAATGCCCTGTGTCCACCTGCTTGGGCTTGAAGGGATGCTAAGGGTTCTGAAGCAGGGAGATGGTTGGGAGGGCAGGGGGTACTGGGACTCCTTGGTCTTTGCTGACATACCTCACCCCACTCCCCTGCCCTCAGGTGCCTAATTCATTAATGTCTACAGGCTCTATGAATCATTTGCTGAAACGCTTTGCTCCACTGACCCTAGACGTATGTAAGGGGTTTCTCTCCCTCCTCCATCTTCTCTCTGGTAGAGAAAAGACATGAGTGACCTTAATGAATTCTAACATTCTGCTTACAGCTATGAAAAAGCTTGTTCTAATAAAAATCTGCAGTTGGTAATAGCAACTGCCTGCTGTGTGTCTGACTTTCCTTGTTCAGGAAGGATATTTGAAGTATTGCAAAGCCAAGTGAAGGCTCAGGAAGAAAGAAACCAAAAACAACATAAGCCCTCCCCGATCATTTTTCCCTAAGTGGGAAATAATATTAAGTTTTTTGGCAAGTGTGCACCCCTCTGACTCTCTGTGGCTTTAGTAACAAATAGTCGTTTTAAAGGTGCCTGTCACATTTTACGTCAAGGACAGTTGTACTTAGAGCAGACATCTTCAGTCTTTGCCCTTGAAGAGAAGAACGTTCTCTTCAAGACAAGAAACCGTAATCATGTAGCCAAATGAATGGGTAAGCTAACTTCAGGTCTTGATGCAGGCTAGAGAGATGCTGTCTCTGGGGGCCATGGAGCTGTGTGCAGGGTCATCTCAGCTAGACAGATTCACCACAGCCCCCATAACGTGACAAACTTAGAGTATAATGGTCTACCATGTGCAGCAATCCGCAAGTGAGTGCATGCCAGGAAACACACACACACACACACACACACACACACACACACACACACACACACACACACGGGTCAGATGTAACAACCAACAGCTGTCGGTTCCTCACCCTGTATTCATCAGCTAATAGAAAGGTTTCTAAGCAGAAGGGCTATTAAGTCCAAGTGATCAGGGCAGGATTGGAGAGACTGAAAGGCCAGTGGGACTTGAGTTTGCAGAAGGCTGCCCTGTGGGGAGCTGGGTAAGGTGGGCAGGGCTGCCTCAGGGAGGATCATTGAGAAACCTGAGAAGGAGTCTTTACCGAATGGCAGCACTGGGCAGCTCTGACTCCTCTCCGGCTTTTGACTGGGCACAGTGAGCAGGGTGTTATTGACCTGTGAGTCATCTGGGCTGGGGATGGGTGCATGGTCTTGGCTTCACTGCAGAGAAGTGGAGTAAGCCAGCTTAGGGGCAGATCTCCAGCCTGGAAGGAATCTGAATGGTAAGCTTGGGAATGCTCTGCAGCCAGATGCCATGGAAACATGTGAGATCATGTGGGAGACAACGAAGAAGTCTGAGGAGTGGGGGGCCTCCAGTGATCCCCAGAGATGTCTGGTCAAAGGAGAAGCAGAAGACCTTGGAAAGTGACACTTGAGTGCCGTGGGATGGTCTGTATGTCAAATGCTCTGATTGGTCAATAAGTAAAACACTGATTGGCCAGTGGCCAGGCAGAAAGTATAGGCGGGACTAACAGAGAGAATTGAGAGAACAGGAAGGTGGGAGGAGACACTTCCAGCCGCTGCCATGACAAGCAGCATGTGAAGATGCCGGTAAGCCACAAGCCACATGGCAAGGTATAGATTTATAGAAATGGATTAATTTAAGATGTAAGAACTGGATAGCTAGAAGCCTGAGCCATTAGGCCAAACAGTTTAAACAATATAAGTCTCTCTGTGTTTACTCGGTTGGGTCTGAGCGGCTGTGGGCCTGGCGGGTGAGAGAGATTTGTCTTGACTGTGGACCAGGCAGGACTGGAGAAAACTCCAGCTACACTTGAGGCTGGCTGTGAGGGAAAGATGGCCCCCAGGGAGAAGGCACAGGGCCCTCAAAGTACTCCAAGGGAGCACCCCTTGAACCTTGCCCTGAGCCTTCCACAGAAGAAACTGGTTTTTCATCAAGGTGCCCCTGCTCTGGGCACATGAACCTAGCCCAGGCACCCTCAGCATTGCAGGCTGCCAGTAACAGACACGAGTCCCACGAGGACCACCAGATAGAATCACCAAGACAACTGGGGTCTCGATTCGAGGCAGTCTCGTGGGACCTGAGGTATCTGACTCTCAAATTGGAGGTCCTTCCCCATCCCCAGGAGACACCAATGCATCAACCATGTCTCTAGTACTATAAGCCCCACACTACAGCATCTACTGTATGTCCATACGTTGGCATGTCTTGTTCTACAAAACACATTGGCCCAACCCAGTCTCCTAGACCTGACCTTCTGTCTATACCCTCACTCTTCTTGGCCCTTCCCTGAGAGTGTGCTTGTCCATACAGAAACAAATAGAGAGTCCACGTGCCCAACCGCCTCCTTGACTGGGTTCTAGCATTCCTAGCCACTTTCTAGCTGCCCCCATCGGCACAGGACCCACTGTGATTATTCTAACCCTTCCCATAGCTGTGCAATCTGCTTGTCCCGGCGGGTTCATCTTCCTATAGATTCTGCAGTAAAGCCTCCTCCGTGTCGGGATGCCGCCCTCCCCCCCATCCCGTCCCCCACCCCACCCCCCACCCGCGCCCCAGGCTTCTCTGGGCCAGTCTCCATGCCTAATCTAGAACCTACGCAGAACACATTATCTTTTTAATAGTTCAATTTTTGGTACAGGATCTCACTATGTAGCCCTGGCTGGCCTGGAACTCATGTCAACTAGGCCGGCCTCAAATTTAAAGACATCAACCTACCTCTGCTGGGATTAAAGGCACGCACCACCATACCCAACTGAAAAAGTGTCATTTTTCTTTTGTGAAGATTTTTATCTTTATTTTATGCATGCTATGCATGCGTTTGCTTGCACCTGTATGTAAGTACACCACATTGCATGTCTTGAAGGTATTTGAATGTACCAAAACCTCTTCCGTGGACTCGAATATCATCTACTGTGGCGTCTCATGCTGACCAGCGGAGCGATGCATAGTTCGTTGTTGCTGGTGGAATAGTCTACAGATTACATCAGAGCAGTGGGCGGTGTGGTCCAGGCCTTCTCTCTCCTTACCAGTGGTCGGCCTGCCAGCCTCATCAGGTAAGAGAGAGGTTGAAATCTCTGGATTGTGGGTATGCCTTTCTTCACACAGTTTCACTGAGCTTGCTTTGTGAAGGTGGAGAGTCTGTCCCTAGGGACAGGAACATTTAAGGTTTTCACAGCTTCTTGATGCAATGACCCTCTTCATTCATTTATTCATCCTAGCGGCGGTACCTGACCCCCCCCCCTTTTTTTAAGAAGTCCTTTTTGCCACAGTCACCCTGCTTTAGGAGGGTTCACAGGTGTGGTGGGTAGTCTTGGTTAGCAGCTCGACCTGACATAAAGGCCCTTAGGAAGCAGACTCCCAAGCACCTGTGAGGGGTTTGCTGGGTTGGGTAAGTTACATTTGCCTATATAACATTTCTCCTGTTCTTTATTCTTTGGTTGGCTCGTGTTCCTGCTTATATCCCTCTGCTTGCATGATTTGGTCTTTTTTTTTTTTTTTTTTTTTTTTTTTTGAGACAGGGTTTTTCTGTATAGTTTTGGTGCCTGTCCTGGATCTCGCTCTGTAGCCCAGGCTGGCCTCAAACTCACAGAGATCCGCCTGGCTCTGCCTCCCGAGTGCTGGGATTAAAGGTGTGCACCACCACCGCCTGGCTGGTGCTTCTTGTACTGATAGATTCCTTCTTCTTTTGGACACCTGGGAAAGTCTTCCCTTCGCTTTATCAAATACACTTTTGCCTGATATGACTTCTTTTTCTGCCAGTAACTTAAAGGTGTTTTTCACTGTCTTTCCCTCTCCTCTGGTGTGCACAGTTTCCAGGGAAATCTGCTGGCATCATTTCTCTGTTCCTCTGTATGCGGTGTACAGGATTTTTTCACCCATCTGTTGCTTGTATAATTTTCTCAATCAGGTAATTTGAGCATACTGAGTCTAACTGTGCTGCTACAAGATAATGCGGTATTTAAAATAGGGCTGTTGTAGAATATGTATTTGCAGCTTCTCTCTGTTGCTTAGTTTTGTTAACTTGACTCATGCTGGGAAGAGGGAACCGCAACTGAAAAAATGTCTCCATCAAATTGGCCCCGTAGGCAAGTCTGTGGGATGTTTTTTAAAATAGGTTATTGGTATGGGAGGACACAGACCACAATGGGAAGTGCCACCCCTGGGCGAGGTGGTCCTCGGCTGGACAAGAAAAGCAGACTGAGGAAGCCATTAGGAGCAGGCGGGTGAGCAGGAATTCTCCATCAGTCCCCTGCCTCCAGATTCCTGTCCTGACTTCCCTTCAGGAGGGAGTGCAAGCTCTATGCTGAAATAAACCCTTTCCGGTCCACGTTGCTTTTGGTCGCAGTGTTTATCACAGCGACAGAAAGCAAAGTAGGACACAAGTCCTCAGAATCTCCTGGCTGGTGGAGCAGTGTTCACTGGTCACACCCGCTCTCCACCTCAGCTCTTCCTCAGGACCTGACTGGCTGATCATTTGGCCCATCGGGGCCTTGATCGGGTTACTTGGCACACTTGCCCTTGTGACTAGGAGTTAAGGCTTCGGTCTCTTTTGTCCCAACTCAGAGGGTGGATAGAGATTCCCAGTTCGGTGTGAATGCTTCAAACATGTGCTATGGGAACAGGCTCGTGTGGGAAGGAGCTGTGACTTTCTCAGAAGGCCACGATTCTCCACTCTGTTTAAACAGCCAGTGCATGTGCCATCACTCCTGGTTGAAGGCACACACCCAGGACCTGCCCTTAGCCCTCTGTCCCAGATGAAATTAATGACATTGGGATCTGAGTCTCTGTCATCCTGTGCTCAGATACCCTAGCAGACTTGTAACCAGAGAGAATTGGGGCACAGCTCAAACACAGAAGTGGAAAAAGAAATGGGCTGAAATCCACAGGGAGAGCTTTCTACTTCTTCATCTGTCTCCTGGCCCAAATAGCTCGGCTCTCCTCCCCCGGCTCGCGTTTGTGTGTTACCTTTCTTTCTCTCCTGGCAGATGTCAACAGACGGACGGGCTTGAAGTAGGTCAGAGAGAACGGTGGTGGGTGGATGCAGCCCTCCAGCTCTGTTGTTCCGTGTCTTCGTGCCTAGCAGGCTTCCTCTGGCATATCAGGGTGATACCTGGACCCCAGAACCGATGGGCTCAGGGAGTCTCCTGCTCAGACCCTGGGTTCACCTCTTTAGAACCAGATTCTCAGATCCCTAGCTGGAAGGAGACAGGAAGTCCTTGACTGTCCTCAGCCCTTGGCCTCTCACAATCCCAGTTTCTTCTCATTACCCTATAGCACTAACAAAACTTT